AGAGAGAGAGAGAGAGAGAGAGAGAGAGAGAGTTCTAGTTTACCTTAAAATTTAAATCTGGATAATTAACTAATGATCCGAACCATGAAAGAAGTGTATCGAGAAATGCTATGAAAGCCAGAAACGCAATCAAATTGGCGATTATATTGCCTACAAGTCTATGAAGAGAAAAATATACATCATATAAGACATAAAACAACAACAAAATTTGCATACTTTCAAAAACATGAGAACATTTCCTACTAATTGTTTATTTTTCTTTAATAAAGGGGTTTTAAATGTTTTCAAAAATATAAATTAAATGTAATAACATATTTGCAGATATTTCCCAATAAAAAGCATTTGGGATCAATTTGATGAAAGTTTTGTGTTTAACTGATGGCTGTGTTTAACTGGAATACAAGAATTAGAGCACTAGTACTCACTTGACGGCAATGGAGGCGCCGTTAGAACCGGCCTCTAATGCATTTCGTTCATTGCTATCCATATATTGCACATAAATAAAAACAAAATCATATGATATCGTTATAATTAAAGTAATGTTTGTCACTAATCGCGTGAAACCTCTTTCCAACGCTTATGGTTTTGTCGGTCGTTTTGCTCTCTTCTGTTTCCGGATAGAAGAGCTTAGAGAAGCCGAGAGCGGCCGGCGCTGACATCACACTCGCCGACAACAGATGACTGGCACTGACGCCGAAATTGATATACGCGGCCATCACTGAGCCGGCGATTGTGGCGAACCCTCCGGTCATAACGGCGTGTAATTCAGATTTGGTCATTGAAGGCAAAAACGGCTTAATCATTAGCGGCGCCTCCGTCTCAATGGGGTTGTAATGTTATGGGTTAGGCATTAGACAAGAGTATATAATATTATGAACAAATGGCTACCATTCCCAGGAAGATATTTCCAGAGGCGTTGAGCGACTCGCAAGCGGTGGTGCCGATCGTGGTCTGCAAAAACCAGCCAACTTTCACCACAAGTATTTGCATCACTCCATAGTAATACAGAATCGACACAAAGAAACTGAAGAATATGACGACTGGCATTGTCTAGTAATGATTAAAATCAATATTAATACCATTAAACAATTCTCTGCGAGTTAATTAATTTTGATAAGTTATCAATTATTACAGCCAATACTTTTCTGCTGCTTATGAGTTATGATAAAAATCAAACTCTGGGACAAATCATAATTTTCAATATTAAATTATAAATATTTAGACCATATCTAAATAGGTCTGTTAGCGTAAATATCTGTTAAAATCGATAGATTGATAACAATTTATTTTACAATTCAAAGTGTTTGCAATAATGGAAAGGATTTATAGTTTTTGTCAAAAATACACACAATTATACGATTAGTTTGAAATGAAAGGTAATTATAAATACAATTATGAATATTTGATTAGAAGTCAGTTTTTTCATCACAACTCATAAAAATGAATAAAAAGCCGAAAAGTGTTGGCTATAATGATTACCTTAAAGGCAAACACAGCCGCTTGTGTGGGAATATGTAGTGTTTTACTCTCGCCTAAAACGGTGACGTTATCGAAAGTGCCCTCCAGTTTGCCGGACACCAGATATCCGAATACAAAACTGGAACCGCTGTCTGTAAACTCCAAGAATGTGCTGACTTTCTGTCCGATGCATTCAAACACTTGTTTGCCGAAAGACCAGCGGAGGATGAATAGGCCGAATAGAAACTGCAGCAAAACACCCCATAACACCTGATTCCACACTATATGCGACCGATGTTTCTGTTATATTAGGATTATTATTATTGTTATCGTTTATAACTAAATATTTAATAACATTTCAAACCGAAAATATGTATCCAATGAGTAGAAAACCAATGAGTCCGCCGCCAGAAGCCAGTCTTATGGGCTCATCGAGTGAGTCGATGACCACAAATACAACACAAATTGTGATTACAATAAACCAAACAATTTTTGATAAGTGTCTGAACACAAAGCTGTCGGCATTTGTTTTAGTCAACGGACGGACTATTCTTTTATAAAATGGTTTTATGACATAAGACTTGAGGACTATATAATAAAGTGCCACAAAATATGATATACTCGTCAACACAACTAATAGTTTTACTCCTTTACAAATCGGTTCGCTCTATAAAATCAATTGTTTGGCATTAACTTTAACTTTTAATAATTAATTAATAAATACCTTTTTCCAAGTTAATTGTATTGCAAACCCCAAATACACATTATATAAAGCGAAAAGTAGATATAGAAACCATTTTTTATTTGTGGCACAAAATTTGATTATAAAATCGGCTATTGATGAGAGGAAGTCCTTATCACTTGATTTAATATGATTTGTATTTGAGTTTATATTAATTGTAATGGATGTACAATTTGGAGAATTAAATTCTGTTTCCTATTAGAATAATTAATTTTAAATATATTGTTATCTAATAAGTTATAATAAAAAGACAAATCACTTGTTCATCCTTAGAGAGCCTAAAGGATGGGTTGTCATAGGCTTCCGGTGTTTCTCCGTTTATCACATGATTCTTGTTTTCTTCAATTTCTTGTTTAACTGTATTGTCATTATTGTTATCCATATTGTTATGCATTTCGTTTGTTTCTAAAAAAGACAAAATAAATCATATAAAATAGCAAATAATGGGCGGATAGTATGGGCTTAATATTAATATTCTGTTTATTTTATTGTTTTGTATTAACAATATTATGTAATCATTATTATAAAACAATAGCCGAACTTATAACATACAATTAGACTTTTTAAAACTTTATTTTTTCAAATAATGATT